GTTGTCTTCGTGCTACCCAGCTTGACTTCTGAGTCCTCTGCCTGGGGGCTGGGCCACCTTCTGGGCCCCTCCCTACAAATCCAGGGCCTGCCTGGAGGGAGGCCAGCAGCCCCAGGGGATGCTCTGGGAGGCTGATTGGGATAAAAATAGCCCTTTCCCAGGGAAAGCAGGAGTCTAAAGGGCTTTGCCCAGTCCAGCCAGGGGCTGAAGAGGGAGGGGCATTCAAGGGCTGGCCAGTCCAAGGCCAGCTTGGAGCAGGGGAGACCAGGCCATCTGGGGGCCTCCAGGAGCCCCTCTCTTGCCCTCCTTGCAGCACCCCAAACACTGGCCCCAGGGGAGCTGCCACCTCCCCCCAGGTGGCATCTGTAAAGTGGCTGTGACAGTGTTTCTTGAGTTACATGCAAAGCTCTCGGAATAGTGCCTGGTTCATCCGGAGCTGATGCTCTTCTAAGCTGGGCCTCAGTCACTACATCTGTGAAGTGGGCAAAGCGACATGGACTCTTGCAGGGCTGTGGTGAGGATTACAAACTAGCATCCGGAAATTGGTCGTTTTTTACCCCAGTTCCTTCCCCTCCCTACACATCCAGGGTCTGCCTGGGGGGTCTGCCTGGCAGTGGATGGGCTGGGGTTTGTGTGGTTGTTTGGGGGGCTGTGGTGGGAGAAGGTCACTCCCTGGATGTCTTATCAGAAAAGTAGGGGCCAGAGGGGACACAGCTGGGAGGGTGGGACCCGGAAGGAGGGTGGCAGCCACACAGGGACTTGGGTGGGGCGTGTGAGGCTGAGTAAGCCACTTTCCATCTGAGCTGTGTTTGCACATGGAGCTGCTCACCAGCCTGCCCTGGTCTGCATCTCCTCCACCGGGAAGCTTCCCTGGTGGCTCCTAAGGAGCACAGCTGTCATGGAGATGTTTACCGTGCAGTGGGAGACGGTGTCGTGGCCCTGGTGCCCAACCGCCTCTACTCAACTCCAGCTCTGCCTCCTACTGGCCGCGTGATGGGGAGCAGATTACTCACACCCTTGGTGCCTCACTTTGCTCTCCTGTAGAATGGGGATGATCATGGCATTGGCCCATGCTCTGATCGCCGTCAGAGAAGAGGCAACAGGTACAAACGCAGAGAATGGCTGCCGGCTTGCAGCCAGTGGTTCCCAAGAATCTGCTCCTGCTCCTGTCATGCTACAGCCCCCGGGACACTGCGGTTCTCTGCTCTGGCCCCAGAAAGCGGGCAAGCCGGCGGTGGCCGGTCCCTGCCAGGAGGACTGGCTGGGAGTTCTTTCCTGGCTGGCGTCCCCAGGGAGGCTCCGTCTCATAGGTTTGGATGCCCCACGCTCCCCTCCGTTTAGAAAGAGCAAGAACAGAAGCAAAAGTGAGCCCCAGGCCCAGCCTTCTCATGGCAGCTGTGGCCAAAAAGGAAAGCTGTGACGGTCAGCTCCACGGGCTGTGCGTGGAACCCGCCCAGCCCTTCCAAGGGTCACTAGCGGGGTCGGAGGAGCTCGGGGAGCAGGGGGACCTCCACGCCCTCCAGCCTGGGTTCGGGATGGATGCTGCCCCTGCGCGTTCCAAATTCTCCACTCCCAGGGCCCCTCCCTGCGCACATGATCCGCTGTCCTAGAACTTGGGAAGGCCCTGCTGCGGGTCCACTCCAGTCCCCTCGATCCTGGGCTTGAATTTCTGCACAAGGTGACCGCCTACGAATGGCGAGAGTGGCTGTTTGGCGAGCAATTCATTCGCATGAATAGAGCAGGGCCGGGCACATACTAAGCACCGTGCCAATATTTCAGTGAGGGTCCACTTACACCTTTTGGGTGTGGGAGTGGAGTGTAGACTGTTCAACGCAGCTCTTCTGCAAAGCCTTCGGTCTGGAGCCATCGGTCACCATCTGGTCACTACTGCCCACCGAGGCAGCTCACTAGTTATTTACTTATTTATCTGGAAGCCACCCCAAAAACAGAGTGAGAAAGAGGGCGATTGGAAGAGATGGAAGAAAGAAGAACCATCTCCCGCTTTTCCGTGGGAAGCATTTTGTCCAGGACAACGAGTATACATTCCACACAGGCCCAAAGGCCACTCTCCGAGGTGGTGCCCATGGGCACCAGCTCAGAAAAGCATCAACCAGTGCCAAGTTTCCATTTTATCTTGTTGCTCCCTGGAGATTTTGAGTCTCCAGGCCTGTGGGTCACCTTCTTCTCCACCTCCCGAGTGGAAGGCAGCTCCCCTGCCTCCTGGACCTGCAGGGGGCTGGCTTCCGCCCCGGCCCCACCCCACCCAATCTCTGTCTTCCCACTGCAGCCAGGCTGATCCGTGTGGCTCAGCCACATACGGCTCTGCACACAAGATCCCAGGCCCTGGCTCGTTTTCTGCCCAGGGCTCTACAAATGCCAGGCTCTGCCCTCTGTGCCAGCAGCCTGGGGCTGGCGTGATGGGGTGGGAAGGGCTGGCAGGTCGGCTTCCGAGCCTCCCAGCACTTCCGCCCAAGCGCAGCCCTGCCCGGCCCTGTTCTGTTCCCCTGGTGCCGGGAGACCGCAACCCTCACCTTGGTCCCTGGGAGGCAGAACACACAAGGGGTTCTGGAAGCTCTAACTACAGTTGGCAGAGCAGGCAGGGGAGGTCGGGGAGGGGGTGAGCTTCCAGAGCCCCCTCCCCACTCGAGCCCAGCTGCAGGCTGGCTGGCAATCTTTTCAGCTGGATCCCACCCTAATCTGCTAGGACCTTTGCCTTTCTTTTACCTTGCTCTCTCTGGGTTTGTTTTTGTCCTCTGCTGCCTTTATTTAAACCTTTCTCTTCTCTTTCTGCTGTCCCTGTCTCTTTCCTCTCTCCTTTCACTCCTCTCTTCTTTAAAAAAAAACTAGGCAGGTTAGGAAGCAACTTACTTTTTTCTCATTATCACCTGCTCAAAGCATTCCTCTCAAGCACAAAGCTCTTAACGCTTCATTTATATTCCTGGCATTAACTATTCTAAGAGATGCTGCCAAGGAAAGAGAGCTCCAGATAAAAACCACTCTGGAGGCAGCCTCCTCCTCCAGGCAGCCCGGCGTCTTGCAGCTCAGAATGGAAGGTCCCTGGGAGGGCCCAGAGATATTTTTGTGCCTCCTTCGGGAAGACTCTTTTGGATCTAGCCTGTCCACAAAATACGGGCACCTTATGATACCTTGGCTGTGCCAGGGACAGTTCCCTGGGTGCACGATGATCCTGTTTACCACGCCGAAGCGCTGGCTCCAGCACCGTTTAGCTCTCTGGCCTTAGGTCAGACCCTTAGCCTCTCATAACCTCAGTTTCCACATCTGAAAAATGGGAGTAACAATCACGTCTAACTCATGGCAGCCCTGGCCAGAGTCACTGAGGGGAATCTCCGCAAGTGCTTGGGCAGTGTCTGCTCACAGTAGGTGCTCAGTGAATGCTTGCTGGTGTTGATTGTGCTGCTACTCATTGTAAGGTCACCGTGGGTGGATTATACAGGCTCCCACCCCAGGGAGGAGGAAGAGGGTGCCCCTCCTCCCCTGCTGACACGAGGCACCCATGGCCTGGCCTATCTGCATGAGAATCGATGATGCAAATCAGCACGGCACCCAGCAGAGCTGCCGCCGGCCCCTTGAGGATGCTGCATGGCACACAGACCTGCCACCAGCTGCGGGGACCCGTTCAACTGTGTTGGAAGTGACTTGAGCATCTACCGCTGGTTGCCTCACAGCACTTCTGCCCAGGCCTCTGGTGGCAGAGGTCAAGGCTGTGGCAGGGGTGCTGGCCCCAGCTGGCTCTGCCTGAGCCCCTCGGAGCCCCCTCTAGCCCCCGCCTCACAAAGCGAGGAGGACGCTCCTGTCCTGGGTGGAGCTCAACCTCTGCTCCGCTTCAGGCCTTCGACATTCATTTGCCCTCCGGAAGAATCTCAGGCCTCCCTGCCCCTCAACCCAGTCCGTGCCCCGGGCTGCCCGAGCAGCCGCCTGAAGCGCAATTCCACCTGCCCCTCCTCTGCTCACAAATTCTCAGAAAAGTTTCCATCTTCTCACCTGGCCGGGAGGGAGCTGCCTCTCCCCCAGCCTCCCCTCCCAGCTTCTCCCTCACTTCTCACTGCAGGGCCCTTTGCCAGCCACACTGCACTTCCCACCAGCACCCCAGGCGCCCCCCACCCTGGTTGCACCCCACCCACCTTTTAGAAGGCCATCGCCTCCTTAAATGTGTCGTGCATACATGTGTGTGCACACACACTCCCCCCACCACCACCGAGGTGTTCCAGAGCTTTGTTAAATCTCACATGCGTAGCGTTTCTGTCTGATTCCTCCCAGAAACCCCAAGCAGCTGTAGCTACAGCACCTTGTCTGCCCACACCACCGAGCATGCGTAGGCACTCAGTAAATGCTACATTAAATTGACTCCCCACGCATGAAAATACCTATCTGCTCACCTGACCTGAAAGCACTTTTGAAAGTCATTTGTTTGCAGCAGACATTGCCCGAGGCCTGTGGACCCAACAATAGCATCATTGATAACTCCCTTCCCATTTCCATTTTTAGAAGTGCACGGCAGAGTTATGTTCTGAGCGAGAGTCCCCCAGAAGAATGGGAATGTGCATGCAAATTGCTGATTCTCTGTCCCCCAAATCCAAAGTGAAGGTCACCGGCATGCCGTGTAACTCCAGAGAACAGGAGAGAGAAGGAAAGGCCACAACACAGTGTGACCGCAAGAGGTTTCCTGCAAGTACTGCAGCCCTAAGTCCCAGCCACACGATCGTTTGCTAGGTCTGTGTAAGAAAGTTGAAAGCATGCATTACCTGTTAGGCTCTGAACAAGGCTACCATTCAGGGACAATAAAACCGTTTTTCTTGACAGTGTCTTAATTCAGAACATCCTCCCCGACTTTTCCTTCTGCCCTGGCCCCAAGCTGCTGGCTGCTCTGCCAGGCAGTTCTGAAACGCTCTCCTTTGAAGCAGGGAGTTTATTTCGGGCCCACCGCATGACCAGCGAGGACAAGCCAAACTATAAGATGTTATGAATCTCAGATTTCCGGCTTGAGGATTGCACCGAGGAAGCGGCGGTCCTGCCTTGCGTCCCTCCGGGTGCATGGGATGCAGACTCTCGCTGCAGAGATCACCTCGGAGCTTCGGCCTCACGTGATGTCATCATTTGTGATCCTTGACATGGAGGCCATATATGGGTATGTTTCTGGAACTACCCGGGAGCGAGCGAGCGAGGAGAGAGAGATGCAGAGAGTCACAGACAGGAAGACAGGGAACGAGGATGGAGAGGCGCGGAGTTAAAGAACGAGGAGCAAGGGAGGGAGGAGTGGGAAGAAACGGCCAAAGGGGAGGGCAGGCCAGACGGGAGGAAGGAAGACGGATGGGCGAAAGAGAAAGGAAGAGAGAGGGAGGGCGGGATGAAGGACTCCGTGTGAAAGTCCTTTGGGGAAATCGAGGCTTGGTGCTGAGCATGCAGCAGGTGCAGCAGGTGGCAAAGCCTGACATTTGGAGACACCAAGGTGTCCTGCTCTTGGCAGCTGTGGGGTGGGGCCAGGGGCACAAAGGGCAGGGGCATAAACCGACCAACCAACACAAAACACCTGGGCAGGCCCTGGGCACCTTCCTCAGGCCCAGGGAAGATCGTCCCCTGCGTCTGGGATGGGTCTAGTGGCAAAGACAGCGCACGCTCAGCCACAGGCATCGAGCATCCAGGATGTGACCAGGGCACTGCCAGGCACTTACACTGCTCGCAGCTCAGGCCCCAGAGTCCAGGCCCAGAAATGTCACTTGGTCTGTTAAGTGGAAAATAATTTCCATTTCAATGGCCGTTGCCCTTGGAGGACGTTGGGTTTATGACAGCCGTGGCAGGATTCCACATCAGCTCAAACCCAGGAAACTTCAGGACGCCTTTACACTCATTTCAGATATTCCACAGGGAAATAAATCTCAGTGACTACAAGGTGCCCTGGGCTTGGGTCGAGGTTCTGGAGGTCTGACTGGCACTGGGGTTGGAAGGGACAGCATCGGTTCCCGCCTGTCTCCCTGCTACTCCGGCACCTGCCTGGCTATGCTTTGCCCCAGCTGAGAGGGTCTCCCCAGGCCACTGTGGCTGGGTGGTCCCTCGAGGTTAGCTCTGGCTCAGCCCCTTCCGGGCCCACGTGCCAGGCTAGGAGTGGAGGGGAAGGGCGGAGATGGGGCCCTCGACTCTCTGTACTGTTCAGAGACTTTCCTCAGCAGTAAGACGTCCTCGTGGGCTCTGGGAGATGTTTCCCTGTTTCTTGCTGCTTTCCTGAGCTCCTTGCTGGAGACAAAACACAGGTGCCCGCTTGCTGTCTGTTGCTTGGGCCTCCGCAGATCCCTTGGGGAAGGATGGGCCATGAGAGGTCCAGCACCCCTTCTTGGGTCGCCCCCTACCTTGCCCTCTCAGTCCAGTCAAACCTCTTGCAGTCAAAAGAGCTGGAGAAACTCAGTTTCCAAATCCTGCCGTCTTATGCCTGGACTCAGCTTTTTTTTTTACTTATTTTTGAGACAGAGTCTCACTCTGTTGCCCAGGCTAGCGTGCAGTGGCGTCAGCCTAGCTCACAGCAACCTCAAACTCCTGGGCTCAAACAATCCTCCTGCCTCAGCCTCCCGAGTAGCTGGGACTACAGGCATGTGCCACCATGCTTGGTTAATTTTTTCTACATATATTTTTAGTTGTCCAATTAATTTCTTTCTATTTATAGTAGAGATGGGGTCTCACTCTTGCTCAGGCTTGTCTCAAACTCCTGAGTTCAAACGATCCTCCCATCTTGGCCTCCCATGGTGGTGTGAGCCACCATGTCCAGCCTGGACTCGGCTTTTAAAAATCAAGAGCCTAGACCAGGCGCGGTGGCTTACGCCTGTAATCCTAGCCTCTGGAGGCAAGGCCAGGTGGGCAGTTGCCCAACGGTCAGGAGTTCAAAACAGCCTGGACAGAGCGACGAAGTCGTCTCTATCAAAAATAGAAAGAAATTAATGGGCCAACTGATATCAGTATAGGAAAAAAAAATTTTAGCCAGGCATGAGGCGCCTGGCTGTGAGTCCAGCTACTCGGAGGCTGAGGCAGGAGGATCGCTTGAGCCAGGAGTTGAGTTGCATGAGCTAGGCTGACCACGGCACTCACTCTGAGTCTAGGACAACAAAGCGCACTAACACAATGTCATCGAAAAAAGAACACGAAATCAAAGCCTCAACCATTATGGTATGCGGAAGGGTAATCGCAGGACAAAAGCACCAGGGTGGACCTGAGAAGAGGGCTGGCCAGGCACAGCTGGGTGCGTACATGAAAACCTCACCCTGCTGCACTCACAACAACCTTCCAAGCAAGCGCCATCATCACTCCCATTTCACAGATGAGGAAACTGAGGCTCAGAGAGGTTCGGTAGTTTGTCCATAAACCCACAGTGAAGGCTTAGTTATCTGAAGCAGTTATGTCTGACACAAAGGCCAATGCCTTCAGCTACGGCTGTATCCCCATGTGATGGGGAACCCAAATGCTGGGGCAGAAGGAGCCCCACAAGGCAGGATAGAAAAATTCCCAAAGTGCTAGGATGCTGCATAGTGGTTCCTATGGGAAAAGAACCTTCTAGTCTAAAAAAAAAAAAACTGAAAAACAAAAGACCTGGGGTGCAGTGGCTCATTCCTATAATCCCAGCATTTTGGGTGGCTGAGACAAGACAAGAGGATGGCTTGAGGTCATAAGTTCAAGACCAGCTTGGGCAACATAGTAAGACCTGTCTCTACAAAAAGTCCAGAAAAATTAGCCAGGCATGACAGTAGGCACCTGTAGTTTCAGCTATTCAGGAGTATCGCTTGAGCCCAGGAGTTTGAGGCTGCAGTGAGCTATGATGACACCACTGTACTCTAGCCCAGGCAAGAGAGTGAGACCCTGGTCTCAAAACAAAACAACCACAAAGAACTCATCCAGACTGTCCTACATACATACTGTCCTGTAGACCAGCAGACAGTGCCCTCTGGGTGAGGACTTCTGCTCCTCTGTCCCCATGCCAAGGAATGCAGCATCAAAGTGTCCTCTTCTTTTCTTGGAACCTCCTCTGCTCATGGTCCAACAATAAAGGGGCATTTTTCTGGGGTTTCAGCCAGGGCCGTCAATTCAAGCCTGAAGGACCTTTGCAGGGGTGCACCAGGTGGGGACCAAACCCTTGCTTGGCCCTTTTACATTCTGTTCCTCCTCTGAGACTTAGAGCAGCTGTCTGGTGGACAGGCTGGATGGGTTATGCCCAGTCCCCAGATGAGGATACAAGTGTGCCAGTGGGGCCAAGCCAGGGCCTGACCCCAAAGACCCTACTCCCAGCCCCTCCTCCTTCACGGGGCCACATCTTACCAAGACAGACTGCCACTCACAATTTCAATAACTCCCTCTGTGATGTCAACAGACAGGCCAACCCTGTGTTTGTCTCAGGCTTTGTGGACCTTCCCTGGCAGCAGCAAGCTTCCTGGGACTGGGATGAGTTAAGGACCAGGGCAAAGGCAGACATTCATCAGTTTATACTGGTAGCTTATCTCCAACATGCCTACTATCCATTCCTTCCCTACACGTGTGTGCGCACACACACACACACACACACACACACGCCAAACTCCGTCCAAAAGCTGAGTCTATTCCTTCCCTCCCCTTGAATTTGGGCTGTTCTTAGTGACTTTCTTGACAATAGAATGCAGTGGAAGTGATGTTAAGACTTCTTCCTAAGTCAGGTCATGAGACACTTTGCAGCTGCCATGTTGGGAGGAAGCCCAAGCAGGCCACGCTAAGAGGCCCTGGCAGGTGAGACACCACGTGAGAAGAGAGTGGCCAAAGAGCACCACGGCGCCAGATGGAGGAGAGAAGATGCTGTCTTGGAAGTGTCCACCTGCAGCTGCTCCAGCTAATGCCACGTGGAGTAGAGACAGCCCCCCAGCAGAACCCTGCCCAACTTCCTCACCCATAAAATCATGAGCTAGAATAAAGCGGTTGTTTCATGCCACTGAAGACTGGGGCTGTTGAGACGCAGTCATAGCCAGCCAGAGCATTCACCACACCTTCTCAGTGGTCTCTGTGCAGGTCTCCTGCCTGTGCTTCTCACAGAGCCCTCCAGAGAGGGAGTGCAGCGTGCTAGCCCCACAGGCTCTTTCCTGACTTTCGCTTGTCTTTGTTTCCATGAAAAAAAAAAAAAGACTCAATCTAATTTTTTTTTTTTTAACCTAACTCTTTGTGAAAAAATGTATCCCAGATCATTTCCCAGTTCTTGGGTTTATCAGACCATCAGCTCCTTTAGGCTGAGACTATATCTCACAGGGGTGTTGTGATCGCTCCAGCTGGAGGGGCCCTTGGCTATCATTGGTGTTCAGAGCCCTCGTTTCCTAGTTGAGGCCCAGAGAGGTGCTGTGACTTCTCTGGGGTCACCCAGCAAGATGGGGGAAGAGTAACTCACACACTGAAAACCATGCCAGTAGGAAGCATGACCCATGGGATCAGACCCTGGTGTCCTAAAGCAGGACACTCTCCTGACACATGTAGGGACCGCTTCTGGGTGCTGACTTAATGTGGAGGGCAGGCAGTATGGCCCAGTGGATAGAGAAGCATTTGGGCCTGCACTGAGCTTGAGTAAAACTGCCAGTTTTCCAAAGTCATGCCAGTTTGCATTCCCACCAGCCACCTCTAATAGTTCTAGGTGCTCCACAAACTCACCGACATGTGGTATTTTCCATCTTTTTTCATATTAGCCATTCTGCTGGGCGTTAGCTGTACCTCATTGCAGCTTTAATTTGCGTGTCCCTGATGACAAGTTACAGTGAGCATTTGAGAAGCCCTGGCCTTGGTGATTCCTGGGGCCTTTCCTCGGCCCCCAACTTTGCACTAGGCTCAGAGGTAGTTCTGGGGAACAGCCATCCAGGGAAGCTTTTTGTGGGGACAGGAGGAGGATGGAAGGGGAATAGATAGAAACCATGCAACTGGTCAAGCTGCAGGCGGGCGGGAAGAAGGACATGGCCACCAAGGGGAAGCCCCGGGGTGCACACATGGCACCATGCCAGCGCTGCTCTCCCAAGCCCAAGCAGAAGCTGCCCCTCTCTCTCCAGCCCTCACTCTGCTATATTTGCCTGCATAGCACTCATCACCTCTCTTACCTAGTATTAATTTATTGTTTGTTTACTGCCTGCTTCTTCCATCTACAATGGAAGTCTTTCTGTT